CCCTGTGCTGTACTTCACATCCCCATGACTATTTTGTAATTACCCATTTGTACTTCTTAATCCCTTCACCTTTTTCGCCCAGCCCCCCAAGCCCCTCCCATCTGGCAATCACCAGTTTGCTTTCTGTAACTGAGTCTGTTTTCATTTTGTTTGTTTATTTTGTTCTTTAGATTCCACATATAAGTGAAATCATATGGTACTTATTTCACTTAGCATAATACCTTCTAGGTTCAACCATGTCGATGCAAATGGTAAGATTTCATTTTTTTATGGCTGAGTAATACTCTATTATATATGTACCACCACTTCTTTATCTAATCGTCTACTGATGGGCACTTAGGTTGCTTCCATATCTTAGCTATTGTAAATAGTGCTGCCGTGAACATAGGGGTGCATGTATTTTTTTGAATTAGTGTTTTGGTTTTCTTTGGATAAATACCCAAAAGTGGAATTGCCGGATCATAAGGTAATTCTATTTTTAATTTTTTGAGGACCCTCCAAACTGTTTTCCATAGGGGCTGTACCTATTTGCAATTTCATCAACAGTGCATGGGGATCCCCGACAACACTTGTTTTTTGACTTATTAATGACAGCCATTCTGACAGGTGTGAAGTGATATCTCATTGTGGTTTTAATGTGCATTTCTCTGATGATTAGTGACATTGAACATATTTTCATATGTCTTTTGGCCATCTATCTGTATGTCTTTGGAGAAACAGGCACATTTATTTTTTGGCAGTAGGTTGCTGGGAACCAGGAGGAGAAGCCAATTAGAATGCAGTTTTAATTACTTTTCAATAATAATGAGCCTTACACAAAGAGCTTTTATAAACCTTATCTTACTAGAATATCACCCAATTTTGTGAACTGGAGATTATCAGCCCCATTTGATATAGAAAGAAACCTCATCATAGAGGATAGAACTTCTAAGGGTCATAGCAGAGTTTGACCCCAGGTGGGCCTCGCATCAGGTTTAGATTTCTTCATTCTGCCTTGAGGCTGACAGAGAGGGAAGGGCTCCATTTCCTGGGACTTGGCCGCCCTGGCCTCCCTTCGCCCAGCTGGACACTCCCAGAGGCAGGGCCTTTGGGAACTGACTGAGTTTTTCTAACAGGCCCATGCCATCCCCTAGTGCATTTCTGTTAAAATAAACTCCCAACAACCTGTCATCATGGCATGCTCTACAATTCCATTAAGCTGATAAAGGCAACTCCAGCATCAGAAATCAGGGCATAGGGAGCAAACAAAGCCAGCACCCCACCTGTGTTTACTCTGTGATGAATGAACAAGCCTGGGACAAGAAAGAACCTGAGGCTTAATGGAGAAGGCAGTCATTCAACACCCTTATTCCTCCCACGCTCTTGTTGGGTCTCCCTGGGCTCTGAAGTGACGGGATGCTTACTGTTTAATGGGAAACCAAAAAGTAAGTTCCGAGACGTGCAGCCACAGTTTACCTTCCCACTTCTCCCGGTCTTCAACACAAATGACAGACAAGCATCCTCACCACAGAGAAGATATTGGGTTCATATCTGTAGAGAATTCCACTGTTACTATCTACAGTCCACTGTGTCAGGTCAAAAAGCGACTGTCAGCCCTGATCAGTCTCTGGGACAAGAGAGTCACTGGGTCACTCAAACTGCTACTATCTGGATAATTCTGGTAGTGAAATTTGTCTGTCTGGGGCCTCAGAAATCTTGACCAAGACCTTAGAGTTAGTTGTAATGTGATTGAACTTGTAGATTCAAACAAAGTATATTCATCTGGAAAAACAAGTGGACTTAACTCTTTTAAATCATATTCTAATGTGAAAACAGAAAAAAACAACAAATGCAGGTCATGCTAAGCAATGTAGCTGTGAGCTGTATTTTAATTAGAGGACATGTCCCTTCATAATGGTGTCTTGGTGAATTGGGCCAGATTCCTCATATTTGAGAACACGGTGCTATAAACGATGGCTTCCCATTGATGCATAATGGCTTGTCCACTCCCTAGCTTCCAACACACAGTTTTCCACCTACTCTTACCCTGCACAAAAGCGGCACCACATCAGTCAGCCACGCACTGGCCCGTGAAGGGAGACAGGCCGCGGGCGCCACACAAAAACCTCACAGAAAGACGTCAGAGCCCATCACCATCGCTGGTGCACTCAGGTGAAATAACAAGCTGCAATGGCCTTTTCCCCTTTCACATTTGAATGTAAAAACAGACCAATACCTTGCACATGCTGTGCTAAATTTTCTAGACAGGCATATAGTGTTACCGTCTGTAACTTTCCATGGGCCTCCTCAGGTTACCATACATATTAATACACATACCAGCATTTGCAGAAAGGAAAATATGGGGTGCTTGGTGATTATTTTTAATTAAATTCATCTGGGAATTTTAAATCCTGAAAATTCAGCCCTTGTTTACAGTATTTGAAATCTCCCTTTTCCATTTAAGAGAAAGTTTCTTCAGCATGTAATGCATTCCAGAGCCAACTGTAAAAATCATTGCATTATAAAACTATGGAATGGGACAGTGGTGACAGTTCCTTTGAAGGCAAAGGAGCCTTCACAGCTTCCTACTCAGAAAAAGTTGCTCAGCATCTCTCAGATGATGCTCGAGCCCCCATTCGATTGTGTGAGGACCACAGTGCTCTGGGAACCAAAAAACAGTTGCATAGAAGAATTCTGTGGGCTTCTGAAACTAGATCTTGCTTCTCTGACTCTTGGCAAGCCACTCTGTCAGTGAGCAAGGCTTCATGGTAAGGTACACAAGCCATCATTTCGGACATATGACATCCCTTTCACAGATGACTTGAAAAATCACCAGTCTGTTCTCTAACGACCTGTGGGGTTCTCCAGACACTGATCAAGCATGCCCCAGGTCTCCCTTCCAGCCACTCAAATTGGAGTTTATTCTCATAGAGAAACCCAGTGAGTTATTAGCTTGAGCAGGAATCGAGAAAAACTTGGTGAGTCGCTACCTTCTGGGTTTCTTGGATCCATCTCTCCCTGTCAACCTCCTGCATTCTCAGGACCATGTATACAGGGGTTCAGCTTGTGCACTGCACAAGGGTGACACATGTATGTCCAGCATCACATGCTGGACATATGAGATGGCGTGAGCAGGCGTGGAGGTTCTGGGCCTCCCAGCTGAGCCAGGAGCATGGACACACATGAGCACACAAGGCCATGCACACTGGGAAAGGCTAGTACAAACTCACTGGCTGCTGCACACACACGTAGGCAGCTGCTTCTTGACCCAAGCACGCTCTTGGCATCTTTGAGATCTTGTCTCTCGCCCGCCCACCACTCTCAAGGCCTCAGTTCCCCCACCACAGGGCTCAAAACCTGACACAATCACCTCACTTGGGGGGCAGAGGGAGGAGCATGGGATGTGAACGTCGAAGGTCACATGTTCACCTGAGCCTCCAGCGAAGGCTGCTGCCCTCTGGGTTCCGGGAAGCTCCCCAGAGCAAATCTCTGCCATTGTGCAATCACACACTTTTTTTTTTTTTTAAACCTAAGGACAATAGCTTTTCTTTCGAACTCACAGGTCCTGTGAGTTCTGTTTCCCCCGCCCTTTTTGTTCCATTGCTTCTACTCAGGCCCTCCTTCCCTCATGGGGCCCCAAACAGAGACTTCACTCTGGAACACACAGAGGCTTTTCCCTCCCACTGCCAAGACTGTGCCCTATGGCTGTTTGTCCATTTTCGGTTTTGCTTCCTTCTCTCTCTTCCCACTTTTGAAAGTTGGCATCTCTTCCCTCCTGACCTTAGTCAATGCCGTCCTTGTTTCAAAGGCTTCTATATTTTCGGAATTGGGAGAGATGGTGAAAATCACTACCTCACTTAAAGATGGGGAAACCGAGGTGACCCAGCTTTTAAGTGACAAACTCATGCTTTTAGCCTCCACTGCGAGAGCTCTTTCCATTTCACCACACGGTTTGCCCCCGCCAACCTGCAGATCCCTTGAATGGTGGGTCAGCAGCATCACACATGGCCAACTGGACCCGCAGCCTGCGGTAAGTGTCTGAGCACCATGCCAAAAACAAGCAAAAAGAGCCCATCGACTACCAACACATCGACAACACCGTTCTGACTATTATGGGTACACTGTCCCCTCTGCCTGAGATAAGGCTAAAAGAGGCCTTCCTTGATCCCCTTGGAAGGCCAAGGATGCATTCTGCATCTCAGAGAGGAAGAACATGTAATCAGAAGTTTGCATGAGGTGCCTGGATACAGGGAGGCTAGTCCTTGCAGTCCCCACAGAGGAGGCACATTTTTACTGCTAACCCTGTGCACTCCTTGTCAAGCATCTGTATCTAAAGCCAGCTACCTCTCTGAAAAGATAAAGTGCAGTTGCATCACCTCTAGCCTGGGGGTCTAAAGAGCAGTGACTCTGACTGGGTCATTCCCTGACTTGTGCCCAGGTCTCCCTTCTGTGAAATGACATCCATTCCAACTTTAGGACTCTATAATTCTATTTTAAAAATTCATCTGCCTTTGGACTAAGTAACGGGCAACTGGTAGCAGGTGTAATTACAAGGAGGCCAAAGAACGAAGCCTGGAGCAGGAAGGCACCCCGTTCCCTTTAGGCCACTGGGTTCTACGTAAGGTTTTCTTACTCTCAAACTGCCTGACTAGGGCTGAAATTATACAAGGCATAGGCTAAGCCAGAGGCTTTAAGGAATATGGGCAGATGTATCAGATCTGTGACCAGGGTCCCTAATCAATGTACCAGTTACTCCTTCTTATTCTCCTTCAAGGCTGAGATAAAGCCATGCAAATGACAACCGAATTTAATGTCCCTGTTTTTGCTGATGCAAAGGGCATGGAGGCAGAGCCTGTTATCAGATTGTATCAGGCTGGTAAGAAATGTAGGAATTGGAGAATCTTGGCATAACCAAGGCAGGAGAGGTGCCTGAGGGTCAGCTACCTCCTGCCCATGGTCTGAGCCTGGGTCACCCTTGGCAGGGTACACAAAGTTGTGAGTGCAGAGGAGTAAGAACTCACGTGGCTCCTTTTTCCTTCTTCATCTCCCACAGACGTTATCACTGTCTCTGAAAAGACCGTTTGTCCAGTCTGGTTGTTGGTGACCTAAAGTAGAATAGGCACAGTGAATATGAAACCAAAGGAATTCTGGGTAAATCCCACATGTATATTTTTTCTATTTTCTGAAGCAGGGGCATCCAGACAGAATGCCCACTCCCCTTTTCTTTTTGAGTTTCACCAGCAATCCTCAGATGAACAGCTTTCCCTCTGAGCTACAATAATAGATATAATAGAATCTACCTCATAGGGTTGCTATGCAGAGGGAAGAAGTGGTCTGTGTAAAGCACTCAGCGGAGAGCCTGTCACCTAGCAGATATTCAGTGTTAGCTATTTTTATCATTCTTGGGGCTCATCATTTGAAACTCAAGGTCAACTTTCTTTTCAACAGCTACAGGTCTGAGAGTCTAACCGAACATCTTTCATGAGAATCAAGCAGGTTTTAGCTACAGCTGTCCCACTCCTGATTCTGCTGAATTGTTTTGTTTCATCAACAAAGTGCTTAACTACAAGGGAGGACTTGGCCCAATATTCTTCTATCTATTTATTGTCTGCCTCTGATTTTGCAGCTGGGAACAGGCACCTAAGAGCTGAGCCTTAGAATCTGACACGGAACCCAGGCCATTCCTGCCCCAGCAAGACATTGTACAAAAGCCTACATCTGATGTTTGGGTTGCTGATGAGGAACAGAAAGGTTGCTGGCCCAGCAGCTAGATCTGTGATCTTTGAGCCTTGGCTCAGCCACCAACAACCATCTAGTATATAACCTGAAACAAGTCATCTCTGTTCTCTGATTCACAATTTTCTCATTTCTAGGTGATCATTAAAGTTCCTGCCAGCTCTAATATCACAGAAACCTGCAGCCAGAACAAAATGTAAACTCTTAGCCTAATTTGTAGTAGTGGATCAAATTCCATTTCTAAGGACATAAAGATCATGTCTTCATCAACATACTTTAAAATTTTTATCTAAATAATTCCTCTCCAGCAGAGATGCTACCTTCTTACTCTATGCCAGATTTTTACAGGATTAACCAATGTTATATTTTTTAAAAATTCCATAGTCTCATACATATAAAATGCAGGACTTCTGAGAACCTTTATTATACTAATGTGTGTTTTTGTATTTATGGGAAGAAAATTACATACAATGTTTTCTAAATGTGTTTTGCCACTACTGAGCCTCTCTTTCACAAAGCGTTGCATAGGACAGGGCTCCACAGAATCCAATTGAGAACCACTATACTGTGCTGAAACATAACTTCATTACAATAACAACAGTAATAATAAAAACAACTTGCTATTGCACAGCACTTTATCGTTTACAATGAACTCTCATATACTTTAGGTTATTTGACCCTTACAACACTGTAATGCAGATGCTGATATCCTTATCTCAAAAATGTGGTCAGTGAGGATCATGAAATTTAAATAATTTTTCAAAATTACACTAGTTCCTGTGAGGGACTCACACTTAAATATTAGACATCTACAAGGAGCAACTTTAAGAAGCAGCTGAACCTGTTGACTATTGTCAGAAAGAATGACTTAATATTGGTTTTGGCAAAAATAAATAAATAAATAAATGACTTTTGGAAATATCGTCCAGTCCTCAGATGAACAATGCTAAAGGATTCAGTTCAGATTTTTGGAAATATCGTCCAGTCCTCAGATGAACAATGCTAAAGGATTCATTTATCTGGGGGAGGGGTATATTCTGGAGCTGGACCCATGAGCATGCAGTGGGAGAAGAGCCACACAAAGGCTACGTTATAGTCAAGGCAATGGCCTATGAAAATTGACCCCTTTATACTGGATGGCACAGAAATGCTATTGTTTCAACCAAGTCATTACCTGAGCACTTGAACAAAAGTAAGGCTCTTTTGTGAGAGCTATGTGGCCTTACACGCAGGAGTTGAGATGACATCAGAGGTCAAGCCCCTTGATGGTCACAACAGAATGTCAACTCTACAGCCTCTTACAATGACTCTGAATATCTGCACGGCAGACTCTCTTCAACAGAACACAGGCTTACGGAGTTCGCATAGCTTAAAGTCCTGTCAAAATCATATTGCAGACATCTCACTCGGGGGCAGGCTAATGCTATGTTCCTCTAAATTTGCAGTGTTTTCTTCTTTAAGTCAGATCTGGAATTAACCTGCTTGCTCCTCATGCAAGATATTAGACCAAGAGACATTTAGACATGTGGTCAGTTGGAAAAACTCTGCTCTTAGAATTTTGAACGGATAACCAGCTAAAGTAATGAATCTTTAATCTTGTGGCAATAGAGGCTTTCCCTTCTGAAGACAGACTATATTACATCTGAGTTCCTCCTGAGAAAACAGAGAAGGTGTACTCCCCACAGCATGGACTCCAGGATTCTATTTCAAATCTACTGAAACATACATAAAACCCTACAGGATAAATTCCTCAAATTAAATACTAGGAAAGTATCTCTGTAGACCCTTGTTTGCATCCTTTTTCCAAACAATAAAAATCCCTGAACATTCCTTTGGAATTGGACTGGCAGGAAGCCTAAAGTTAAATTTACTGCTTAAATGCTAAAGCGAGTTAGGTTTTTGATACATATTTCTCCCCTTTAAACAGCTCCCTCACTCCCTTTGATTTTTAATCTATATTTTGCCAGCTTCATTTGTATTTTTTGCTTGTCTATCAAACATGTAAACATGACCTGAGTTCTCGGATGGGACTGGGAGCTACAGAAGGGGGAAGTGCTGGCCATGATGGCCCCTACCTTGTGAATTTCTCGGTGCACGTGGATGGTGTTATTTCCTACTTTGGTTTCCGTGTTGGTCTCATTGTGATAGCTTGGAGGTAAATCTGTCAGATTCACTTCTGACGACGTTTTAGCAGCAGCTTCTTCTGCCTCCATCTATTAAATCAATGAATTAAATGAGCAAAATTATTTTCTCTTGATATAAATCAGAGTCCATTAGAAAAAAAAAAAACACTTCTCCTCTTCTGCAATTACAAATAATGGTAATAATGATAGGTACCATTAATTGAGTACCCACTAGAACAAGACATTGTACTAAATGTTTTACATACATTATAGCCATAAATCTCATAACCTCCCTACGAGATGAGTGTTAATGTCCCATTTTGTAAGTGGGGAAACCAAGGCTCAGGGAGACTAGATAACTTCCCAATACTCTCAGTGAAGGGCAGAGTTGGGATTTGAGAATGTTCCCATTGAACTGTCTTGGCCTTTGTACAAAGGCTGTTGGTGCCCTGCCCATTCCCTGTGGCCTATCTGGAGGTCACCCACATTTAATTCCCTTACTTGCCAACAACTGACTCTGTCTCTCTTTAAGGGTATTCCCTGGCTGCAGAAGCGTGCTCAGTCTGCACAGGGCCCAAGTGCTAGGAAGTTAACATCCCAGGAACAATCCTCATTCAGTGAGGGACAGGCTACGGGGGTAAACATACTCCAGCTCCCTCTCTCCTCAATGAGAGGTCTCTCCGAGGATCCCCCTGTGGGACTGAACCCGAGGTGCCCCTAGCAGTAACCTGCTCATTAGCATAGCTTTTATAGCTTTTCTTTTCCATCTCACTTTCCCACTTCTTCCTAGTGTTTCTAGGATCACTTCCCAAATAAACTATTTGCTCCCAAACCCTTGTTGCAGGGTCTGGTGGTAGTGGTGGTAGGGGACCCAAACTAAGGTCCCTTTTCCCCCTGCAGGTGGAGCCACAGCTATATCTCCTTTCTCATTCCACCTCTTGGGTACAGAGAGACCCTTAGAGAAGGTCAGTGGACTAGTTCCTGGGGTCTACACTCCTTTTGGCTCTTCTTGCACATGTCCTTCTTTGGTGTCAGGTTTCTGAGGCCACCGTCCTCAAATCCTCCAGTCTCGTGAGCCTCCATGGCATCTGTACCAGATATGCCAGTCAACTCACGTCTGCACCCAATTTCCCTGTCCAGATTTATCATCCCACCCTAGCCCTAATCAGTGGGCAGTTGACAAAATGACTCATTCATAGCTGACTGGACTCAAAGAGAGGCCACATTATGAACTAGTTGTGCCAATCAGATATTCTTTCTAGGAATTAAAAATGAGAGACACAAAGAGAAGTTCTAGTTGGTGGCTGGCAATTTTCCAACACTATTGTCTTCGACTCTGGACTATTTTTATTCCTTAAAACGAATTCTCAAAAAGATTTCCCTTAAAAAAAATCATTATCCTCTATCCTTATGTACTAGGTAAGGTTCCTCTTTTCCCACCCCTTCCAATTAGATTTATGGAGCTGGAGTGAATATGGGGAGAGAATTCTCATGTTGGTGCAGCACAAAAACACTGAACTAGAAGTGGGAAGAAAATCTGGTAGGCACAAAGGCTCAAATAATCAAATGACTTGATTGGTCACTATTGTGTTTGACCCTAAGATGATTGCTGAGACATTTGAACTTGGTCATCAGCTCCATCAAAACCACCACTACCACCACCACCACCATCATCATCATCATCATCATCATCATCACAAAACCTCCATCATCATCATCATCATCATCATCATCATCATCATCATCATCATCATCATCACAAAACCTCCATGTCTGGGCATCAGCTCGTCTGAGCCACTCCACCAGATACCTACCATGTCTCCTTGAATATTCACAGCAACCCTATGAGGAAGGTGTTATTACCCTCATTCTGGAGATGAAGAAAACAAGGTTGAGAGAGGTGAGGGATTTGCCTCAGGTTATCACATTGTTAGTAAGAGGCAAAACTTGGATTAGAACTTATGACCATCTGGCTCAAAATTATGTGTTTTCCCAGCATATGATTCTGCCCTTGCTTTTACTGGGGAGATATAGGAGAGTCCCATACAAACCAGTTTGAGCATAATTATGATGATTTCCAGAAGCAAGTTCAAAGAAGAGAAGAGAAAGGCTTCCAGAGGAAGAGGAGACTTGATTGGGCTGGTCTCAAAGGATGGGTAGCATTTGGACAGAGATGAGTGTAGAGGAAGCGAACTTAGGGCAGCTTGGACAAGAATGGTATGCGTTGCAGGCTAAAGCAGAGGGTCCATGCTGGGCACAGGATAAAATGGTGGATGCTGAAGTAGAAGGGATCAGCAGGCAGTTCCAGGGGTAGTTCTAAAGCAGAGGGCGCTGTCCTGGTTCTCAACCAGGAGGGTACCCAGAGCCATGACCAAAACTTTATGTGTGTGCGTGCATGCGTGTGTGTGTGTGTGTGTGTGTGTGTAAAAAAAAACCTGCCACATTAGAATTTCTGGAGGTGGGACCTCAGATACCAATGAGCTTCTCAGATGATCCTGAGGTATTCCCTCCCTTCCACCTGCTCCCAGGTAAGAACTTCTGCTCCAGGCAATGGGGAGTTACGGCAAGTTCTGAAGATTAGTTGGGAAATAATATAGAGTCCAAAGAAGAGAGGAATCCAGTTAGGGGAGGTTATATCTGGGGAGGGGCCTTCTAGGTGATAAAGGCTCCAAACAAGTCAAAAGGATCGATCTGGAAGGACTGAGAGCTGGCCACTGGGTTAGGCAAAAAGCTGCCCGCAGCATCATCAGAGGGCAGCACAGTAGAAAGTGCCAGGGTTCTGGAGTCAAGTAAGGTGGGGCCAAGTCCCAGCTCTACCACAAAGCAGGACAGGATACCAGATGTCTCTAAACCTCTGCTTTCTTGTTTGTAAAATGGGGACGATTCTACTTTGTTGAGCAAATACAAGAATTAAGGATCACGGAATCCAAGTGCTTATTAGTACAGTACCTGCCACCCAGCAAAGGTGTAACATATAGCTACTTTCATAATATTGCCCTTTAATATTGCAGTTTTTGAAGAAGCTAGTTGGCTGGGGAATGTTTGAGTAGAAGTGGAAAGAGTACATAACATGTGTTTGAAGAGTCTGTTAACCAAATGGAGCAGAAATGGAATGGAGTTAAGATAGAAGACAGAATGGGCAAGAAAAGGACTTTTCTTTTTTTTTGTAAGTGAGAAAGTCTGGCATGTTTAGAAAAGACAGAGCTGGAAAAGAGTAGGAGACTGTAGATGCTACAGGAACTTTTATCCAGAAGGAGATAGGAATGTTTTAATGTTTTTAAAACTCCCGTGGGAATCTGAATCCTTCAGTTTGGTTTTCAAATAATTGACAAGTTACCAAATCTAGAGTCTGCTTTGGGCTAAGCAGATAATCTTTTTATAAAACCTCCCTCTCAACCAGTGGTTATTTCAACAGAATGAGCTAACAGTTCTTTAACGTCACCGCAAACTAAAAGTACAGTTTACCATGGAAATTTCAACCACAATTATTACTGCTGCTAGCAAGAAAAACTTAAGCTGGACCAATAGGTCTTGTTTCACAGAGGAGGAATGTGAATGTCATTAAAAATGGCATTTATGGTTAGTTGAATCTGTGTGTCTATTAAAGGGGCACAGTAGGAGAAATTGGAGTGATAAATCGAGGCTTGGTTCCTAGGAATAGGTGAGGTGATAAAAACATTCTAAAATATGCCAGTTATAGACATGGCAATGAGCACAGGGGGAAGAAGGGGAAGAGAGTGGTTTTTTATTCTTGAAATACATTTATCAGTAACATATAGAATAAGAAGACAGGAAAAATCGGAACAGCCTGGATTGTACCATTTGAAGATTTGACTCCTCCAATAATGATCCTACAAATAGAGTTAACTTCATCTTCTCCCCTTAAAAAATCAACAGCTTGAGTCAGCTGGAATATTTAAAATGTCAGGAAGTTACTTGAAAGCAGATTCATGATGCAACTATGTCAACAATTAATACATCTGACCCGGTCTTTTTTGGTTCTCACCCAGGACAACAAATAAATAGCAACTGTCCTGTGTTTATGAGATTTAAGGAAACTTCCGGCAGTCTCTTTAAAGGGCAATTAATACCAATAGCCACAATCTATTAAGAATCTATTATATAGTGGACACCAGTTCTTTGTTATTATTCATACTAGTACTATTAACATGATGATAATGACAGCTAATATTTCTTGAGAACCAACAATCTCTCGTAATCCTTACAACCTCATTGGGGGCTGATTTATACCAAATTTACTTAAGCCCATTTTAGATGGTCAGATAAGTTGCTTTACTTGCATCCTTTCATAATTCTCCTCTTTACCCTAAGAGATGGACAGTTCCTCCATTTCAGAGCCTGGATCCCACTGCTAGTAACTGGCAGCACTGGGTTCAGTTAAAGGAAGGTTGGTTCCCATGGCCCGTTCTCCTGCCACACAGGTGTTTGGCCTTTCTCAGCCTGTCACCGCAGCCAGCGAGGACACTGTTTGAGAAACAATCACTGAGTGGGATAGCAGTGGCAGCTAATGTCTTCCCTGCTGGCAAACTTCAGTTAGCCTATCTGGAAAAGTCAAGCAGAGCTATGTCTAGAGGGAGGAAGGATGGGACCCAGGCAGAGCCAATGCAGACAATTCCTATAGAGTGGTTCTGCTAGGCTCCAAACTGCTCTGACCAAAGAAGAGCCTGAAGGGTCCTTGCTGCTTCCATATCTCCCTCACCAGGAGGTACCATCGGAGGACTATGCTGCCTGGGCAAGTTCACACTGAATTAAAATGTGGCCATGACCCAGTCAGCCTCACTGGGATCTGTGTGCAGAAGGGAAAGTCCCAGAACCCAGAGAAGGAAAGGAGATGATCTGCCAGATCACAAGCTCAATTTAATTTGAAGGTGAAGAGTTAAGAGACAGTGAGGTCCATCTGATTCCCAACTCCCTTTAATTGTTCTATGTCATGATTCTTGTGCTTTCATAGGAAACAGAAAGTCAATGGGGTTTGGAATCTGGCTCATACAGTGGATGTTCAGGTCCAGTTGTCCATGCAACTGGCTCCCAATCCAGTGTCCCCTTCACTGAAAACTCCAAGTTGACTGTTGTGGAAAGGAAGGGGATGTATCCCCAAACTACACAGGGCGAAGAGAGAAAGCAACTTCTCCTAGTAGACCAGAGTCATCATTGGAGGCTTTGCCCAAATGGATGTGGAGACACCTAAGGCACCAGGGGGGACATCTGGTCTCTTACTGACTCTTCTCCAAAGACAGGCTGCAGCCAGAGCTGGGCCCAAGAGTGACTATGCCTATTCACCCCAAGCACCAGGGTTAAGCTCCCCACACCTGGGCTGGAGAACTGGGCCAGCTGCACCTCCTGGCCAGGTAGCCCTGGAGATGCTTGGGTACACACTGTAGAGGAGGCCATCCATAGTAAGATGTGATGAAAAGAATAAACCAGGCAAAGTTTTGCCTAGGTACCTGGGTATCTGATACTAACGGCTGCTATATATTACATACAAGGTGCCCACATATATCATGGCATTTAATTCCCACAGGAAACTGAAGTGCATGTTTAGGGATGTGCTCAATGTCACCCTGCTAAGTGAATGTCAGAAGAGGACCTTGAGCCCAGGCTCGACTCCAAAGCACTCTTGGGGTGGAGGTGGGTGCCTTTCACAATGTCCTTCCTCCTCCCACCCTCCAGCCTCTAAAATTCACACTGCTGGGTTTCAGGATTCTGATTTTCCTTCTCTGCCCCACATGGCAATGGAGGAAGCTCAGTCAGATGACCAGCAAAGCTCAGGACTCTTGGTGCCCACAGGCATCCTGTGTCTTGGGAAGATGTCACAAGCTCAAAGTCCAATGGACATGCTCGAGCCTGAGATGCCTGGGGCTTCCTCAGCCTCTCTGCAAAACCACAGTCCCGCTATACCAGAGTCTTGAAAGCATCCTCTTACAACGGGGGGAGACTAACTACACACCTGAAGAAAATTGCGGGGTGGTGGCTGGCAGCCTGCAGACCCTGGGCTAGCTGCCCGTGGGTGAGTCCGCCTAGAGGGTCTTAGTGGACAGGCTCAGATCCAGATCTGGCAGGAAGGCAGAACGAGGTGGGAGTTCGGATTACGCCGTGCTGCCTCCAGATCACTCTGAACCTGCCGCCGGCCTTCCCAGCCCCTTCGCAGAACGGAGGAGCCGGGCCAGCGCTTCCTGCACAGCTTTCTCCTGCTCCCGCTACCCGCACGCTCGCGCTTCCCAGAGCCCTCCGGGCGCACCCACCTCCTCCACCGCGCTGCGCAGTTTGTGCTGCGTGTCCTCCATCAGTTCCTCCACCTCGCGGAACATTTCATTGAGAGTGGCCTCCTCCTGCGGGTAGCTGAGAACCGGGCCGGGCCCGACGGGCGCCGAAGTCTCTGTCGGAGCTGGCGCGGGGGCCGTGGGGACCGCCGCCGCCAGCAGCAGGCACAGCAGGGTGC